TCTCTTTTTTTTAATTTCCTAGTATTTCTATGATGGAATGGACATAAGTAATTTAGCTGTAGATTTTGCTGTCGTTTGGAATGGAAACTTCATTATCGACAACCCAGAGGATTTGAAAGGTAAATATTTCAAAATATATTGTTATATTTTTATTTATTTACATAACATTACTTGAACTGAAATCCAAGAGAGAATAGAAAAATTTCTTTTCCTCCATCTCAAATACTTTTGTTACTAAACTGACCTCCCATCCATTAAAACAAAGATAAACATGGCTGTGAGTGAGTGTGCTTGTATTGTTTTTGAACGTGCACAGTCTTAATATAGATTAAAATGCTGATCTTTAAAGTTATTAAAATATTTTTTTCTTTGTGGTACAGAGTAAAATGTAGGAAGTTAAAGGGCTCTGTTAGTTGGAAAAAGCACGTGGGGAGTGGAGTTGATTAGGGAGAGAGCACAGGGTCAAGGAAAGCATATAAGGGGTGACATGGGTCGAAAAGACTTGGAAGAGTGTGTTAGGGTTCCTTCTTCCTTTTTTCTTCCTCTCTCTCATCCTTTCCTGCCTCTCTATTTTGCTTCCTTCTCCCTCCACTCGCTTTCCTTTCCTTTCCCAGTTGGTTAGTAAATGGCTGCTGGATGGGGGGGGGAGGAATGAGGGATTACAAGAGTGACTGGAAAACTATTATGGAACATTGAAAAGGAGGATCACATAACTGCAGCAGTCTGATCAGAGCAGTAGCCTGGGGAAGTCATAACTTCCCAAAATTTGCTGTATCCATTGCTGCATTCAGAAGTAGCTTAAACTTGACTCCAAGCAATTGTGAAAGAAGGCTCTGTAATCATGAGTTTCATTGCTAGAAAGAGCAACTGGCTGAGTAAGAGAACAGAATGGAATCTGCATTACCAGTTCCTTAGCATTACTATGCCCTGCTATAACATATAATAGGGTTATGCATATGCCTGATCCTACAGCAACAAAGATGATGGCAGCTGCCATAGGTTTTAGGTGTCTATCAAAGTGTCCATACCACTATGTGGATTCTCACTATGAATCAGAAAGACATTAACTCAGTTTGCATTTTAATGTAGAAAGTGTGGATACTGCAGGAACACATACTAGATGTATCCATAAAAAGACAAGTACCAAGATGCATTATTAATGGGGCCATATTTGCAAAAGTTCAAAAATGTGCATAGTTTGAGAAATGCACACAAGTAACATATGCATTTTTATGAAGGCTTTTTTCTTTAAGAAAAGAAATTGCAAATTGAGGCAGAAATGAAGTGAAATGAACATAAGACTGGGGAAAAATGAAAACTTTACTATAGTGTTGATCGTCACTCGATTCCTACTTGAGCTTGACAAGAAAATTTTAAAATGGAAATAAATATAAAAGTTTCGTTTCAGAAACTAATAAATTAGATCAGATACTTATCAGTATGCCCATGATCAGATCCAATCTGATCATGGGCATACTGATAAGTAAACGCTCCAATAATAAATCCTTCCAAACAGAAAAAGAACTTTTAAATTTAATGTTGTAAGTTACCCAGAGTCATCTTGTGGCAAGATGGGCAGCAAACACACTTAATAAATAAATAAAAATAACATAGTATTAGCAGAGGGAAAAGCTTCTATCTGATTAAGGGTCTCTGTACTAAGGTTTTTCAAATTGTGTTCTGCAGAATCATAGAGTTCAACAAGAATTTGAGGGAATTCTCTGAGAGCCTAAGGGGGCTGAAAATCATTCAATTTTCTTACAGATTCCATGGTCTAAAAAGTTTGAAAAATTTTTCTGTATAGTGTATAATATTAGTGTATAATATCTGGTGTTCCTTAAGCAACACCAGATCCACAGGAGCAAAAATAAATAATAGCAAAAGCTGTTTTCTTAGAAAAAATATGGTTACTATGAAGGAATATATATATATATATATATATATATATATATATATATATATATATATATATATATATATATAGATTTTTAGGTTTTTGCTAACAAAGAATAAAGAGAGAATGGTATAGCTATTTCGGGTTCCTTTAACCCTCATCAGCCAAACTTACTCTTCTGAGATTCGAACCTGGGCTATCTGCATGTTAGGCAGATGTTATAACCTCTAAGCCACAGGCTCTCCTCACTTTGTCAGCTGTATCAGGAGAAAAAATATGAAAACAGGAAGATCTGCATAATTGTAAAGAAAACTAAAAAAACGTCAGGTTGGTAGCTATAAAACTCCTCATCTCATTAATCATAATATAATACCTTTTATTTTATTATACTGAACAAATCAACAAGGCCTTATTAAAGAAACGTGTAGCATCAGGCACCAGTGCAAGACAATTTGCAGCCACGTCAGAGAGAGAAATCCTCTCCCTATAAAGTTTGCATGGCATGCATAATTGATGGATTGTTTCCACATCCTCCTTAATAAACTTGCAATTGTACAGCTGTTGAGAGATAGGAGGTCAGGAATGCTCAGGACCCCAAATCATGTCTTTTCCTGTGATGCTAACAGAGCGTGGAAGAACAAAATCTCATCCAAAAAGGCATTCTATTACTGGCATTTCACTGTTCTAGTCTACACCAACTGGGATTCCAGCTTCACAGACCCCTATTGCCTGCCAGGTAGCGTTTACTATTTGATTAGCTAATGGGTCACACTCTAACACAACCTGATCTGGCAGAGAAGAGAAGGCCCTAGAGAGCTTAGAATCAAAATAATGGCATTTTCTTTGGGAGTCTGGCTGCTGCAAGATATACCACCTCTTTCATGGCAAGGCAATCAGTCATAACAACTCTGTGTTGCTAAGCTCCTCAAGTATTAATTAAAATCCCAGCAACATTCCAGCTGAGAGAGGAAATACCCTGAAGGATGAATGAGTGAATGGATGCTCTTCTCTATCCACTAAGGCAGATATTTTTGGGCTGATAGTACTGATACCGGTAATAACTGTAGGATAGAATAAGAAGCCTATGTAGTAAATTAATGTGACACTAGTAGGTAAACTGGGAAAAACAGAGTACTATTGTTTATAAATTAGATTAATGACTTTTGAGTGAGTAAATTTATTAACAACTACAAAGCACAAGGAAAGTCCTGACCTGACATCTCATACACTTTATCAAACATCCTGGGAGGGTTCTGTTTTATGAGACATGTTTATGAAACATTAGAGTAGTGTCATTTCAGTTTTCAGATTTCTTTGGGCCCTGATACTTTTTAGTTAAAAAAAATGTAAACCCTTATCAAGAGGCCACGTTCTATTGATAGAAAATTGGTTATGTTCAACTAAAATGGTGTTTTGGGAGTAAGACATGTTGATCATGGAGCATATTGAACATGCCAGAATTGTTATGAACACTGCCTCTGAAGAAGTGCAGCCTGAAGGCATTTGATCTTCACTTAGTCATACTTTGCTCAAATTGAGGATCCAGGATAGGAGATTGACATTTTGCAGATAATATTGTACAATATTATCACCATTTTCTCATGTGATGTTGCTAGATTTTTTAACTATTATAGATAGTTATAATCGCTGTAATTATAACTACCAGCTGTGTGTGTGTGTGTGTGTGTGAGAGAGAGAGAGAGAGAGAGAGAGAGAGAGAGAGAGAGAGAGAGAGAGAGAGAGAGAGAGAGAGAGAGAGAGAGAGAGGGAGAATAGTTTCGGGAAAGGGTTTAATTTTTCCATCATGATGAACTATCCTGTTATCAAAAATGATGCAAGGTCTGAGGAACAAAACATATCAGGAGAGACTGGGGAAATTAAATAAGTACAGCCTGGAGGACAGAAAGGAAGGAGGGGGATGACACGACTGAAACCTTTATATTAAGGATATGAATAAGGTTCTAGAAGACAGTATTTTAAATATTAAACAAAAATCAAGAACACAGAGTCATCACCTCAAACTGAGAGGTGGAAGTTCAAAAGTAATGTTAGAAGATATTACTTCACAGAAAGAATACTGAAAGCTTGGGACCAACTTCCAGCAGAGGTAGTGGGTCAGTCATCACTAACTCAATATAAACATGCTTGGGATAAACACACATGTGCATCATCTGACAAACATTTTTTAAAAAATTCAAAAATAATAACTCAATTAATTGATTAAAAAGAAAAAAGCTCAAAAGTCAGACTCGATGGGACCACTAGGGTTTTTTCTGCTACCAGTTTCAAAAATGAGAGTAACCAAAGCAGAAATCAAAATTACACAAGGAATAAATATATAGTCATTAGAACTCTAGAGAAAATTTTAAAAATATCTCTCAATCTATTTACCACTATATAACCTTGTTAGAATAAAAAAAATAACTATTTCCTAGTGAGTATGCCTCTTTATGCTCATTATAAAGATAATAGACAATTTTGCATTACAAATTTCTGACATATTGTATATGCACTTGTTTGCTCATCTTGCATTATTCTGCTTGTGGTTGCCACTGTCTGAAAACTATACTTCAATAACACCAAAGCATTTGAAAATTCATTGAAATGAGGTTTGCTAGAAGGAACATCTCCTTTTTTACCTCTTCCTCCTTGAAATCTTGGATTTTCAAGGATGGTACAATCACCACACATTTTGTAATATAATGTATATTCCATAGACAATTATACCTGTCTTCCAAAACCAAGAATTGCTAAGGAATGGGGGGGGGAGTGTAACAGAAGAAAAGAAGAAAACAAATAATGTGACAAGTGCAAGAGAATGCAAAACAGAAGAAAAGAAAAAGAGAAGAGTAATCCAGGAAAAAAAATCCAAGGTAAGTTGTGCATATGATGAAAAACCAAAATAGTAAAAAAAATAAAAATAAATAAGGAAATCCCCAAAGAAGAAAAAGTATAATTTCAATAGCTCTTGAATGCTATCAAGTTATCAGGTCAATGCAAGACTCTGCAGATTCAAACATGCCAGGTGCATTTCTTCACTGGAGGACCTGGAACAGAATGGAAGATTTATTTGACCTCCCCACCTCTGCCCTCTCATGCCCATTACCTTCTCCGCTGACTGTGATGTCCCAAAGAAGATAGGAATGAAGGCTAACCACACAATGCAAGTAGTGTACATGGTAAACCCAATGGGCTTGGCTTCGTTAAAGGTCTCAGGAACCCCACGGGTCTTTATAGCATACACAGTGCAGGTTACCATGAGCAGCATGCTGTATCCAAGCAAACAGATGAGGGATAGGTCAGAAATGTCACACTTAAGGACTCCCCGGGCAAAGCGGGGGTCTGTAGTCCGCTGGTCCTCATAGTCGATAACAGAGTGTGAAGGGTCCACAATGAACCAGATACAGACCCCTAGGAGTTGCAGAGATATGAGGCTGAAGGTGATGGCCAGCTGGGAAGCAGGGCTGATAAAGCGTGGAGCACTAACCGACTTCTTGCCCTGCTCAAAAATGCGATAGATGCGATTGGTTTTGGTCAGCAAGGCAGCATAACTGATGCTCATGCCCAGGCCCAGAAAGATACGCCGCAAGGAGCAGATGCCCAAGTCAGGCTCAGCAATCATCAGGAAGGTGGTGGCATAACAAAGAAAGATACCCGTCAGCAGCACATAGCTTAGTTCCCGCCCTGAGGCCTTGACAATAGGTGTGTCGTTGTAGCGCACAAATGTTACCACCACAAAGAGGATGGCAATGATGCCTACAATGGCAATGAAAACTGGCACCATGGCCCAAGGAGAGCTCCACTCAAGTTTAACAATGGGGATGGGGATGCAGCCAGTGTGATTCTCATTGGGGCGCTCACTGAGACGGCACACCTTGCAATGGAACTCATCTTGCTGATATTGGTATCCATCACAGCGCTCACAATGCCAGCAGCATGGGATGCCCTTCACCAACTTCTTCCTTTCGCCTGGTTTGCATGGCTGGCTGCATATGGAGGTGGGCACACGATTGCCTCCCCCAGGCCAATGCAGGCGCTCCATCTGCAGCAGAGAGAGAGAGGGAGAAAGCAAGAAACTCAGCCATCTACCTAAGCCTGGGTCAGAGCAAGAGACTGGACCAAATGTCCTACCCAAGTAGCACAAAATGGTTGCTTTTGATCAATAATGTATCCAGTTAGTATGTGTGTTACTCCTTATTTACAGCTCTTCCTGCCCTAGTTTCTCCTAAAGCAAAAATATTTGTTTTTGAAAACCTGTAGAAATTCTTCCTCTCCTAAGACAAACCCTTGAGTTTTGCAATTTTCCTGTTGTAGCCTTTTACTAACTGTGCCCACTCACAATGACCTTGCTAAACTACACTAAACAGTTCAAGCTCTGTACTTTGCCCCCTCTCATTGTTGCTGCTTAATCTATTATCTCTTTCTCCCTCTTAAGGTTATTTCAAAGCTGTATATGCACACACTGCCTGGTTTATTGTAACTCCCACTTCATTTGCTATATAATTTGATTTTATTGTGCACAGCTACTGAGCCAATTCTGAATATTTGCTCATTAAAAGAGAAACAAGGGTTTGCATAAAATTCAAAAATTCTTTATCTAAGTTTCACTTGTTGGATTTTAATTTCAATATTGAAATGTATCACCTGGAATGGTTTGAGATCAAGGGTGAGCACCTTTAGTGATTTAAAACAAATGGGGAAGAGCAAATATGTTATATTTATTTGTCCCTGGGACTGAATCTTTAAATTTTATGTTTGTTTAGTGATACTTCCAATTGCAATATGTTTTACAGCCTACCCTTAAAAATGTAGTTAGAAATGGTGTGCATTGGATTGTTATTATTGAATGATATCATATAGCAGTGCTAGAGCTAAACTTAAATCCTGTTCTGTATGATCACTCTTTGGTGTCTATATAAAGATAGCCTGAATTTTAAAAAGCCCATTTTGATCAATGTTCTTGATTTTATAGTTTCCTGAGTACAGCTGTGCTTCTTACTTAAAATTCTGAAGTTGAAAAGACAGAATGTTAACCCCTAGAAATATTCAGATATCTAAACACAACAAATCCACTTACTTTTAAGTTTAGATGATCTGACCAGTGCCCAATAACTTTATACTCAGGCGTAGCATTCTTGATTTGGTACTGATAAATGTCATAGCGGCCTGGAGCATCTCCATTCTCATTAAAAGTCACTGGGGTTCCTGCAATACCTACAAGAAACAAAGTACTTAACTCCATAAAGAAAAGCAGAATAAAGTTGGATGGCATATTTGATTTATCAAACATATACTTATTTTAATATCTAAAGCTATCTTGCAAAATTTCCCAACAGATTTTTGGGGAGAACCTCGAAGTTTACTAGCTACAGAAAGGCATAGGAAAGTGCTACAAAGGGATAAACATACATCAGGAAATGAAGAGCACAGTGACTCTGGACATTTGATTCAGACCAAAACTCAGTTCACTCTGTTCTCTCAGACTTAAATCTATTTTTTTCATTTTTACATAAGCAACTCCTCTTAGAAAGCAATAGCTTTTTAGTTGCCTTTTGCAAATCTGTTAGAACTCACATTCAGATTTACCAGTAATTTCTCTGCTAGAAACAGGCATATAGAAGATAAAATAAGAGCCTCTACCCTCACATGGAGGCCTCATTTGTAAGCCAAATAAAATTGGGTTTCTGCAGCTTTCTTCCTCATGATCCTCTATCTAAGTGTTAACCAGAACTGACCTTGCTTAGCTTTTGAATGTCAGGCAAGGTTATCTAGATACTACTATGCCCAGCTAGACTCTGCCAAGTTATATAATCCTTAATATATAACTATATAATCAGAGAATTAGGAGTTTGTTTTCATACAAGATGCCAAAATCAAATTGGTTTAAAGTAAGCTGTAAATGTTAATGTCAAATCAGAAAAGAACATTCATTCCTCTTCTAAATTTCTCTTACAGTGTCACAAAAAGCAGAGTGTTTGATGATATAGACAAAATTAGAAGGCCCTTAAGACTTGGGTGTCCTCCCACACATGCAGGTTGGGAGATTAGGTGGCCTGTGAGTTACTGTTAATTATTGCTGATGGTTATCCTCAGCTGATGTTCTTTTTATTTTATTCTCATTGTGTAGCTTGTTTTATGTACAATTATTATTACATTAATGTTTTCAACTGTATTCACTGCCCAGCATCACTTGTGCAAGATAGGCAGCCACATAAATTGAATAAATTAAATGAAATTTCTGAGCAAATTGATAATGTAAAATGAGTACCATATTTTTCCATCTATAAGACGCACCCTTGTATAAGACGCTCTGGCATGCAAGTTTCTCTGCACCGATCAGCTGTTTGGCGGAGCACCAAACAGCTAAGCCGGCAAATCCGGAGGTTCGGCCAGCCGAAGATCTTGCCCCCTCCCCCCTCCCATTATTGGCAAGCCCACAGGGGCTTGACACCTGCACCAGGTGGCATGGTAACCCACACAGGCATGCCGTCGGCTTTGGAGGTTACCATTATTTTTCCGTGTATAAGATGCTGCACTTGTATAAGACGCACCTGATTTTTGAACAGGGTGTTTGCAGGAAAAAATAGCATCTTATATACAGAGAAATACGGTATACTGACAGATATAGGAAGCAAAAATCTATGGTCATACTCTTTTAGTTCATGTATTTGGTACCAATGGTAGAAACTTGATCAAATCTTTAACAGGCATCTAATCCAAAGAAAAAGAAGGACCCTTTTCTTGACAGTCAATCAGTTCCACTTTGTACATGAAAACAGCTTTCAAAAGACATTACACAGACCTGCTACCAGATCTGCCTGCATATAATTACATTCCTCTTGGATGTCCAGGAATACGCTCTTTGTCTAAGTCACTGAGCAATAAATCCATACATAATGCTGGTCCATGATGGGGCTACATCATTCATTTACCAAAAGTGGTAATCCCAGCTCAGCATTCAACCACATATTTGGAGTCAGAAAATAATAACATATTTTATTGTGTTATGTGAATCTCTAAGAGATAATACCATAAAATGAAAGCACTGAAAAGAATCTAGAATATAGAGAGGTGCTGAAGGAGTGTCAGGACCTGATTGTCTTCAATTCCAACTTGATGCGATATTTTAATATTTTTATTTTCTCCTATACTTTTCCCTGTATCCTTAAATTATCAGCTTGATACAGACTGAATTGCAGAGTCAGAGCAAGAAATGAAAAAAGAGAGATGGATCACAATTCAATCCATGTAAAAACTTGATTAGATTTCACAGTTGAATTTTCAACACTGCTACTGGGACAATCCCATAATTCTCAACAGTAACAGGATTGCTTAATGGGCACTCAGGAGTTTGGACAGCACATGGCCTTCCAACCATTTGCTCCCACATCTCAATATCTGCTGCTTGAATGTCTTAAAGCTGCCTACTGGGAAAGTTTGCTTGCCCCACCAAATGTTATCCCTTCTAAACATGATCAGTGTTTCTTCAGTTTTTTTATATTACCTCTTCTTTCTTATCACAGGTCATAATAGACCCTGGAGAATGGTCTCATCAAGACTATGGCCACATAATAAAATTAACCTCACTGCAAAGCAAACCCTTGAGGGTATCTACAGCAAGTACGGGAGCCTTTGAACATGTGCTTGATGACCTGCAACAATTAGGAGGTGATAATGTTGATCTCCCTGTCATAAAACACCTTTATTTTCCAATTTCTAAGGATCAAATCTTAATTAAGGAATTCCCATAGAAGCAGGTTTCAGTGTGATTTTGTCCCTTTTAGTTCTCCAGGAGATAAACCAATGACGTAGGAAGACTTCGTTGTTTGCTTATTTTTTTATATTGAGCCAGGAAGAAAGTTATAAGGACCAAAGCAGGTCTGACAATGACATGTACCCCTTTTCATCCACTACTAATATGAGAGATGGAAACAAAGAAATGAGAACGGAACAATGAAAAGTAGAGGAGGAGTAGGGATGGTTCCACTACTCACCACTTTTGGGGGGGGGAATAAAATTAAAATTCAACTCCAACAACACAGTACATTTGATTTGGGTTTCAGCCCTTTTACGAATAAGCAGAGATTAGTTTATATACCAAAGTACAATATGTGACCCAACCAGGAATGACAATCCTCTGAGCTGTGTACATTTATTTCTATAGTGCTAGCTATCGGCATGTTATATAATAAAAGTGTTTTTTTTAAGATGTCTTAAAATTCTTTGTTATTAGATCTCCTATGCTTACATTACAGAATCTGGTAAGCCATATTATTCATTGGTATGTTCCTGTAGTTCTGTGAATCCTAATCTGAAGATGTGCTTGAATAGACATTTTCTCTACAAAATTTTCAATGACATCTTTTGTTGTCTCGCCATTACCAATATCAAACTATAAGTCACTCTATCCTCTTTTATATGGTTAAGTGGCTATATTACTTCAGATTTTAGTGAAACTAAAACAGATTGCATTCAGTGAAGACCTCTTTGTAGAAAATGATAGAACATGATGCATTCATTATAAAGAACAAGACTGGTGGCCCACTGCCCTCAAAACTGTTAGATTGACCTTCTTACCATGACAACACCTGCAGCTATACAGCAAGCTGAGAGGGAGAATATCTGTTGTTTCAGTTCTTGTTCTGAATGCTTTTGCAGACAGATCATTATCATTGATGAATGCTGTCAGTGATCAGCACTAATATCTCTGCCACTCATGTGCAAAGGGAAAGGTGACAGAGGAACACCAAGGGATGCAGCCTGTGGGGGGAAAGGGCAGGATAGAGCAAGGCAGTTCTTCAAAACAAAGGCAGACAGGGCCTGATTAGGCATTTGTGCCATCTGTTCAGTTGCAAGAAAGCATTGCTAAGAGATTGAGAATTGTTACTTTTGCTCACTCCTTTGATTTTCTTTCTGTTCCTTTTCTTCATGCTTGCATGTATATTCATGACAACTGCGCAGGGGTATTCTTGCAGATCTCAATGAAAGAAAAGTATAAAACATTGAAAACTGCAGGTAACTTAAATGTCCACTTCTCAGGTATGGAAGATGACAAAGTTCTACCCAAGTTGGTCTTCATCAAGGCCAGAAGTCAGTCTATCTTCCTTTCTTCAACTTCTTCTTTTGCTGTACAACAAAATCCATGCTCTCAAGGGGAAACAAATGGTTATGTGCCTCCTTCTCCTATATATATCTCAACTATTAAAAACTCCTTTTCCCTGTATATATCCCAACTATTAAAAAATAAAGAGTGAGCAGGGGGGGACAAAAGAAGACTTCTTCGGGAAACAGAATATGGTTGTTTATTCCAAGATCTTCTCCATATCTGGATGAGCTTGGAATTCAGAATCAAAGACAGACATTTCATGTAGCTTTCGGTAGCTCCAATTATAAATGACCTTCTCAATATCCAAACATGTACACAAGTCATTTCCTATCTAGTTGCTGCTCTCCTTTATCCAGTTTTTACAGAGTGGAAAATATAAATGGCCTCTAAATCACAGCATCCAAAAGGCCATTTCTCCATGTTAAAATGGGAAGCTTAATCACTTGTGCATTTGTAAAATATTTTTGTTAAAAAAGGACTGGTAGACAAGAAAAATCACTAGTTCTCCAGAGGTTGCTAAGCTATGATTTTCTCCCTACTATTGTTTATGCAGATGGGTATTGATGAGGGAGATATTTCATCAATATCTGGGAGATCACAAGATGCTCACTATTGTCTTAGAGGTGTTTTAAAATATGCCTAATATAAAAGACAAATTCAATGAAGAAAAGCAACTCAGCTGTAGGAACAAATGGGCACTCTCAGTCATACTAAGGAAAGTTTATGACATACAGTAGAATGTGACCAGATGACAAGTATTATGAAATCTTTAGTTACAGTGGTTTGCTTAATGAGTTGCTTCAAGCCAAGACTTTTTGTTGTTGTTTTTTTCCCCTTCTAAACTTTACCTTAAAACAAAATCACATGAATTGCACAAATAAATCCCAATAACATTAGGGAGCAGGAAACTCAAATAACTAGCTAGGAAGGGAATAAATAAGAGAGACAGATTATAAGGGGACTGCAGTGGAAAGATAAATAGATGTAATAAGTAGGCTGAAGCAAAGCCCATATATTAAAAACATACAATGTGAAAATGTGAAGAGTTTCTAGAAGATGTAAAGGAATAATTAACTGGGAGAGGAAATATTTTCTATAAAAGGAGATAGCTTACTAATGGGAGAGAAATGAAGAAATAAGAGCTATTAACAGGGAAATCCTCATTTGGATAGAACAATGATGGAATAAGAGCTGTGGTGGTGCAGTGGTTAGAATGCAGTATTGCAAGCTAATTCTGCTGACTGCCACGAATTTGATTTTGACTGGCTCAAGGTTCACTCAGCCTTCCATCCTTCCAAGGTTAGTAAAATGAGGACCCATATTGTTGAGGGCAATAAGCTGACTCTGTAAATCGCTTAGAGAGGGCTGTAAAGTATTATGAAGCAGTATATAAGTCTAAATGCTATTGCTATTGAAAATTTTAGATATTAATTTTGTCCTGGGGATGCTACAACTTTCTGATAATCCAAATAGAATCCAGAAGCCTACATATCTCATCTACCACAGCACACAGATTTGATTTTTTTTTAATTGTCAGACTGCATATGAGTGGTGGAATTCCTTCAGGTATTCATGGCTGAAAATCAGCAATAAGACCTTGAACTGTGACCCATATAAACCAAATAAATAAGTAAATAAATAAATAAATCTATCTATCTAATTTAGATGAAATGTAAAACAGAATAAAATTAATTGAATAAAACCTAATATATATATGGGGGAGGGATATGCCCGACCCCAGGGGACTGATCAAAAGAGAAGGGGAGAGAGAAAAGAACAGAAAAGATGAGGCACGTAAGATTGGAAGCATATTCATGGATGGAGAGGGGATATTTGAGAAGGGAGTAAGAATGGAGGAGAATAGCCAGGAACAGCAGGTAGAGCTGCAGATTAGAGGGGGGGGGAGGAAACAGAAGAGGGTGTGGTTGATAGGAATGGAGAAGGGCAGGCAGGAATAATAGGCAGAACAGCAGTTTTGGGGGGGGAAGTTTGGGAAGGAGAGTCCAACAGGAACGCAGGTCGGTAGATGGGAACAGTACGTAGGACAGCAGGTAAGGGAAGGAAGAATGCTGGAAGAAACAGCAAATAGAGCAGTGGATTGGAGATGGGGGGAGGAAACAGGAGAGGGGGGGACTGACAGGAAAGGAGAAGGGCAGATAAGAATAGCAGGCAGGACAGCAGATTGGGGGGAGGAAAGCTTGAGAAGGAGGGTTTAACAGGAATGGATGTTGGCATGTGGGAACAACATGTAGGACGGCAGGTCAGAGGAGGAGGAATGCTAGAAAAGAGAGGATGGACAGAAATGGATGAACAACAGGCAAGTCAGCAGATGATGGGGAGGACATTGGAGAGGGGAAGATGGACAGTGGGGGAGGAGGGTAAACAGGAACAGCAGGTAGAGCAGCGGATCAGGAAGGAAAAGATATTGAGGAAGAGAACATCAATAAGAATGGTCGATGAAAGGCAGGAGCAATATGTTAATCAACAGGTGGGAGGGTTGAAGGAAGGGAAGGATGACAGGAATGGATAACAAAGGGTGTATGAATCGGCAGGCTGGGAGAGGAGGGGGGTTGGAGGAGGGAGTTGAAATAGGAACTGGCAATGGTATGCAAAAACGGCAGGCAGATCAGCAGCCCAACAGGATTCGTGTAGTGCTGAATCGGAGGAGGCACCTTGCATTGGGTAAGGAGGAGGGATTGGAAAGTGTGTTAATGATAACAGCGCAGGGAGGGGGAGACAGCACAAGGATGACAAAGCAGAAAAATACAATGTTAGAGTGTAAAAAAGAGAGGGTGGAACAGTCAAGGCAGTCACAGGCAATCAGGAAGAGTGGCCCTGTCACGAGGGCAATGAGTAGGCAATTGGATCAGCAAGGGGATAAAAAGAACTTCCCACCCCCTAAGCCCCACTCTGAGGACGCTGGCAGAGGACCAGAGAAAGCTAAGTTGTATACTCTTCCCGGATTTAACTCTGATATGCCTCTTACTGCATCTCAAACCTTAAATATATATTCTAAATTTTAGGAATGGAGAAATGATAGAAAACAAACAAGAGCAAAAAGTTGCCAAGGAGGTATTTCAACATTCTTTTTTTTTCTATTAATTATAGAATGCCATAGCCTAACATAAATCCAGTTTGGTAACTTTAATCTTAATGGTGCTCTTTGAAAGGCAGACCTGAGAAATTGACATTCCGGATATATCTGAGCAACTCTGCACCATCTACTGGATCCATCTTGGGGCAAAGACCGATCTTCCCTGGACACAAGTTCTTGTGCATATTATGCAGTGCGTGACCCATGGCATAGACTGCGTCAATGACAAACTGGACCTTTCCTTCCTGCTCATAAGCGGAATCTTGGCCAATCCGTTCTCGATCTGAAAGAAAAAGATAGAGGGTAGGAATACGTGAGATGATTTTTCTGGGAAGCTGATGACTTAATAAGTTGCCAGTTTCCTTCAAAATCTGCAAAATTTCAGCTCAAGAATAATGGGCACAGCCAATAGCATGGCTTAAAGGCAGTAAGGACTATTTCCTTTTATACAGAGAATTATCTGAAATTTCTACACTAAGAAAAGGCATGCACTGAGACAGAAGGAAATAAACCACAATAAACGACAGAAAAAAATACTAAAGTATCAGTGGAACTTATTTATGAAGACTAAACAAACATCCCAGGCAAGCCAGTGCACAATCTTGAAGTTGTTTTAAACTTATGGTTTTTGCTCAAAGAGTAGATGGTAATTGCAGCTAGGAGAGCCTTTGCATATCTTTGGGTGATGCACAAGCTGCATCCATTCTTGGACCAGGAGGCTCTGCTCATAGTGACTCATGCCCTTGTGACCTCTCCTTTAAACTACTACAAAACATGCTCTACATGTGGCTTCTTCAGAAACTTCAGCTGGTGCAGAATGCAGCTGTGCGGCTAGTATATGGTGGCAGGTATATGGCACAAGTAACACCAGTACTGTGTGAGATCATTGGTTATTGGTATGTTTCCAGGAGAAATTCAGAGTGTTGGTTGTCACCCTTAAACCTTGCATGGCTTGGGACCAGGTCACCTGAAGGAGCATCTTTTTCCTAAAGTCTCTACCTATCCAATTTTATCTAGCATATTGGCAATATTCTCCCCTCAGAGATTAAAATCATTCCAGTCCTCTTAGCCTTTCGAAAGGCTCTAAAAATCTGATTAATTTCCCAGGCATGTGGCACGTTTCCTGGCTTTAGGATTAACTAGCTGCTGTGTATATTTATTTTGGGTTTTTTATTGCTTTTATTGTTTTAAAGTGTTTTTAATGCTTTAATCATAGTATATTTTTTGAACTTTGAGCCACCATGAGTCATTGATTAAGATGGGCTGCTACAGAAATTGAATGAATGAACAAACAAACAAACAAACAAATTCCAGCATGAAGAAATTCGTTTCATATACTCAAACACTATTCAAAATACTTTAGGTGCTTTTCATATAAAATTTCAAGCAACATTTCTGTAGCTCAGTTTCAAAGTTGAATATAAAATTCACAATGCCCCTTTCCATTGCTTGTCCTTAATAAGAGAAATAACCTCCATGTGATTAGATACAATGTGCAATTCTGATTTCTGCAGAGGCTTTTTACACACATTCAAGTGAACACAAGTTAAAAACTCCTTTCAGAATATCCCTCTTAATAAGAGAAAGAGGGCAGGAATATTAACTACGAAGGCTGAGTGGACTTAAATAACCCTCCCCCAATTTTAGCCTTTTCTTTCCTTGAGACCTGATGGTAGTCAGCAAGTGACAAAAAAAGTGAAGGAAACAATTGGTCCATTAGTGGGTAAAAGTGGCAAGAAGGTGAGAAAGCAGAACTATTTAACTCGTTTTTTGCATCTGTTTTTACACAAAGGGAAAAAAACAGATCAACCTATCAAAAATAGTGCCATAAAAAACATTATAGAAACACAAGTTAAGATAGGCAAGAAAATGATAAGTGAACACCTGTCCAGCCTAGACGAATTCAAATCACCAGGACGAGATGGATTACACTCCAAGATTCTCAAGGAACTGGCAGATGTGATCTCAGAACCACTGAACTATATTTTTCAAAGATCTTGGAGCACTGGGGAACTACCGGAGGACTGGAAAAGAGCTGATGTAGTTCCCATCTTCACAAAAGGGAAAAAAATGGATCCAGGAAATTACAGACCTATCAGCCTGACCTCAATACCTGGGAAGATTCTGGAAAAGATAATCAAACAACGAATCAGCAAACACCTAGAGGCAAACAAAATCACTACTAAAAGCCAACACAGGTTTGTCAAAAACAGATCATGCCAGACAAATCTTATTGAATTCTTTGACCAAATGACAAAATTAGTGGATCAGAGGAATGCTGTGGATATAATTTACTTGGACTTTAGTAAGCATTTGATAAAGTAGATCACAACCTACTGCTCGATAAGATAGAAAAAAGTGGTTTAGACAGCATCACCACCAGATGGATTCGTAGCTGGCTGACCGGCCGTACTCAGCATGTGGTCCTCAATGGAACTGCATCTACATGGAGGGAAGTGTGTAGTGGGGTGCCCCAGAGCTCTGTTCTAGGCCTAGTGCTCTTCAACATCTTCATCAATGATTTGAACGAGGGGATAGATGGGGAACTCATCAAATTTGCGGATGACACTAAGCTGGCAGGAATAGCCAACACTCCAGAAGACAGGCTTAAGATACAGGAGGACCTGGACAGACTTGAACACTGGGTGGTATCTAACAAAATGAAATTCAATGGTGAAAACAGTAAGGTTCTACATTTAGGCAAGAAAAACCAAATGTACAGGTATAGTATAGGGGGTACCTCGCTCAATAGTAGTAACTGTGAGAGGGATCTCGGAGTCCTAGTGGACAATCACTTAAATATGAGCTAGCAGTGTGCTGCAGCTGCCAAAAAAGCTAACTCAGTGCTAGGCTGTATTAATAGAGGGATAGAATCAAGATCACGTGAAGTATTAATACCACTTTACAATGCCTTGGTAAGGCCACATTTGGAATACTGCATCCAGTTTTGTTTACCACGATGTAAAAAAGATGCTGAGACTCTAGAAAGAGTACAGAGAAGAGCAACAAAGCAACAAAGGCTAAAACATATGAGGAACGGTTGCTGGAATTGGATATGTCTAGTTTCACAAAGAGAAGGACGATGGGGGACATGATAGCAGTGTTCCAATATCTCAGGGGCTGCCACAAAGAAGAGGGAGTCAAGCTATTCTCCGAAGCATCTGAGGGCAGGACAAGAAGCAATGGATGGAAACTAGTCAAGGAGAGAAGCAACCTAGAACTAAGGAGAAACTTCCTGACAGTTAGAACAATTAACCAATGGAACAGCCTGCCTCCAGAAGCAGTGAATGCTCCAACACTGGAAATTTTTAAGAAGAGACTGGACAGCCATCTGTCCAAAATGGTGTAGGGTTTCCTGCCTGAGCAGGGAGTTGGACTCGATGACCTCCAAGGTCCCTTCCAACTTTTTTATTATTATTATTATTATTATTATTAAAGTACATGTTCTGTAAGCATTTAACTTAGGCCAGCATTGAAGCATATGCAGGTATTTAGATGCTCACATTATGCTTCCCATACTAGTAACTGTAGCGCCAGTTCCCTTGGGTACTTTCAGCAGTGTCAAAGGATAGCTTGTATAACATCCATCAGTTACAGCAAGCATTTCATCAAGAGCTTGCCCTTGTCAGACATACTGCTAGTTTTTCTCCTATCTCAGTCCCCTTCCCCTTTAATCTTTACCCCAGACTGCAGAATTACTCAAGTATCTGCTAATTAACCATGATAGTTGCTTGTTTGTCTTGTCATAACTGTTCTCAGTGGACTTCAGACTTATTAATCCCTTGGTAAAAGTTGCCTCTTAACATAGTACTCCATTCATTAGAACTAAAAGAGGGCCCCCTGTGGTATGGTGCATTTGGTACCACAAGAGTAACAGCTGGGACTGCCTTAACTTGACTCTCAAATATGGTCCTTTCCCCAACCGCTAGCAGAGAGAAAACATGTGCTTGTACCAAGCCATGGGACCTAAAGGGGAGAAGCTAAGAGGAAATTGTTGGAAACAAAGCCTGACCACCTGGAGAAAGGAAATAATGATACTTAACACAAAGAACCTCTGAATAAGCTGGTTTAAAGAAATTCCATTCATGTTTAGGAATTGACTTTTGGACTCTATTGCATAACCCAGCTGCAATTTCCAAATACAGCAAAATGCAGAGATGACCATTGGAAAGAGGTATAGTCCAGCAGACGGAGATTACACTTTATGCACTGGGTGCTGTTCAAAATGATGTTTTATAAGGAACATCTTAATATAGTACAACAGTGTCCTCACCAACAAAGAGGCAGGCAGGCAGGGACTCTTGTATGTGTACATCCCCCACACCCACACACTACGTTTTCACTCTAATTGTTATATCAAAAAATAAATACACTTCACTGGCTACTAAAGAGTGAGTAATGGAGAAAACACAACTGATTTGATGTTATTAGTTTTCTTAACCCATCTATCACCATAATATAGTGATAGATCTTGTCCAAAACTTATTTCAAATGACATATAAGCAAAATCAAGCTACATCAAGGATGCTCCCTTCCGCTTCACTTTACTGTTAGTCAGACTATTTATGAAGAATTTTATTCTCCAACTCCTGGTAGACCTAAACATATAGTTCTGCAAGAAAGGGAGTTAAGTCATAGCCTCATATAATGCAAACAATATCAAGAGGAGCGGGAGTCCTTAAGGTATTTGGTGAATGTCTTCTGAACGCTGCTACCTAACATCCCTTTAATCTGTCATATTTGGAGTAAAGTTAGAATCAAGTAATTCTTGTGTTTTGTCGTGATATAACTTCATTGGTGCAAACCATGCCCAAAGAGCAAACGCTAAGATGTTCAGACACAAACCTATGTAACTGTACAGAAAAATGTCACACAAGCACTATAAATATATTTTTCCTCATAAAAAGTCCAATCCTTCTGCAGGGATACTACAATGGAATCCAAAAATACAAATTGGTCTGAATTATGCCTAATTATAACCCATTCCATTTTCTGTTATTGAAAAATTCACTTTAATATAGAAGCCTCATGCTTAGCAGCTGATGTACCAGCAAAGGAGACATTGTAACAAATTGACAGAGAACTGACCAACAAGAAAAGATTATATCAAGGCGGTAAATTTGCAGTCAATCTTACAAAGTTATAAAAATGCTCTTAGACTATATGGAAATTACTCCTATGAAACCCGTCAAGTTATCCTTTCTTTCCCATTACTGACAAAGACTATTAATCATCGCTCTCAGTACAGAGCCCTTTCTGCATTTGTCTCTCAATGAGCAGACA